CTTCAAACACAGAGTCCTCGCGAGCCTCAACTATGATATATACAACCGCAGTTGCAAATATCAGGGCCGTCAGACGTTCCACGGCCCTGGCCAGAGCTTATCCCCAAGCCATACTCTTCGCATCATCTCAACATCCGAAGTCCTCCTGCCAGCGCCGTCACATATGGCGCGGTCCGGGCGAGCGGATAAACTACGAGTATTTGGAGAAGCAAATAGATAAGCACAGACGATACTGTCTTTCGAAGCTTCGTGAGAAGCCCGCACGTCCGCGGAAAGCGAACGTGTACGAAAGTCAGAATCCATGGGGGTTCCGAGGTTACGGACCGGGCTATGATCGAGACAAGTCTTTTCAATTTGACAAGCGAAATGGTATTAAGGGTGACTTTTGGGAGGCCGAAAGGTCCCGCATCAAGGAGAGAATGAACCAGATCAAGAAGGAGATTGATAAGGATCCCTACGCAGCATTATTCGGGAGAAGGTTGCAGCCATTTAGCTCCTTCGAGAAGCTTGATAATGCCTTTACCTCCATTTGTCGTTCTTTCCTAGGTCTTGACAAGTCGGAACACATCATGGATACAACAGCACGCCCGAAGGCCACTGCTGCAGTCTCGAAGGACTCTTCGGAATCGCCCAAGAAGCCACAATCAGACGTGAGTGGCAGGGTCCCATCTTCAGACGAGACTGTATCAGAGACGGGTCGACCAGACTATGAATTCGACCCTGTTAGTGGCCGTATGATACCCAAGGATCCTGAGCAGTCGGTGGCCACAGCAAAGGGTTCTCGCGGGAACGACATTGATACATTGGCCGGGACCCAGAAGCCTCCTTCTGGACCCACCGGCTATCTATCCCCATTCGAACGATCAGTTTCAGAACCTAAGCCGGCAACAGAATCAGGAAACGATAGGGCAGAAGAAACATCGCAACAACGTGTTGAGGTGGCGCCAGTCGCGGATGAGCCCTTCCAAACTCCTGAGGTGCAGAAACCGCAGTCACCAACAGAAGCTCGCTACAAAGCTTTGGAGCCATCCATTGATACTATGAAAGACCAGAGAGATGTGTCTGAGAAACTTAGCAGTCTCTCAGAAGCGATCATGGCCGATCAACCTAAGCTTCAGGATCTCACAATGGGCGGCGGACGCGTCACCTATGATCACCTAGAAGCGCCAGTCAACAGTCGTTCGTTTGGAGATCAACCAAGCAATGAGGCTTCGATGAGATCTCTAGAGGCGCCTGAAAGTCCTCTAAGTACAGCACACGAACAGGACAGGGTGCAAGCAGAGAGGGAGGAGGATTTAGACATCCTAAATGCCAGTGATATTCGTTCACAATACTTGGCTAAGCCTAGTATTGACCCTGAGATTGAGAAGCAGATCCGTCAATCTCTCGACGATAGGTTCGATTCATTTGTCGATCCCGCTGGTGACATTGACGCCGAGAGCGTTCGAAGCAAGTTTCAAAAGCATGAGACTTTCGGCGCATCTGACGAGGCCATCATGCCAGAGAAATCAGACGTTGGTGTACAGCCCAATCAACAAACTGCAGAAAGTCGGGAAGCTTCACAGCTACTCCAGTCTGGAAAGCAGGAAGCTACCAAGGACTTCGATCAAACTACTACCATTGAGCAGCCGCTCGCTGGCAGCCCGTCAAGTGAAACCTATAGAGTCCTTGCATATGATCCCTCGACCCTTCAAGTAAACGAGGCGGAGACGAGCTCGTCTTTCCAGGCTTCAGACGAGACAATCCACCCGGCAGAAATTCTAGGTCGCCTGAATGCCCCTGCCAAGTTTCTACCCCATTTTGCAAGAATGCGTACCGATGGTTACGAAATTGTTTCCGGTGGTGGGGATATCCTTGTTTTCAAAAAGTCCAGCAGTTCCGTGCACGACAGTGCCGCTCTCCATTCCAAAGCAGCCGGCAAAATTGAAGCTAGGTCCGACGGTCAAAACGACGAAACTTTGAAACAATCTACATCACCTACTCAGCTACCGCAGGAGCATTTCTCCAGCCAAGCTCCTGATCATCAGACCAAATTTCCAGACGAGACTTCACAGGCTAAAGGCTCTTCTTCGAAACGACAGTCAAGAGCTGGCCAGGCTCTACGCAGGATGCTGTTCAGTGGCGTAGCTACCGCAGGAACATGCTACGCCATAGGTGTTGTTGTCGAATACTTCCGCACGGGAGGACAGGATGGACGGGGTATTGATGCTTTCACGGCTTTTGAGTCTGAGCGGCGTCATGGAGACTAAATTTGGATGTCTTCGCACAATTCTGTATAACTATTCGAGCTGATTTTTGCCATGACCATAACGAGTATGTACTATGTAGTGCGTCTCCTCTCTGTAACTAGAGTCACATTTTCCATTGAAAATTAGGCTACGCTATCTGCTCCATTAACGCCATCTTCCCGCTATGCTATGGGTACATCAATTTGGTATGAGCAAAAGACGAGAAAGCAAAACGAAGACAAAGAGCTAGCAAAGACAAAGTAAATACAAAGCAAAGGCTAGGCAACGTGCGAGCAAAGACTAAGCAAATGCAAAGTGAATGCAAAGCCAAGGTGCAAGCCAAGTGCAAGCAAAGGCCCAACGAAGAGCAAAGCAAAGGCCAAGCAAAGAGCAAGCCATGAAAAAAGAAAGAAAGAGAGTATCGAAAAGAAAAGTCAAGACGAGAGATTGAACACGTCCCGTCCCCAACGCCTATCGCCCTGGCAGCGCAAAAACTCACCACTCAACCCTCACCCCCTCAGCGCCTAGCCGCAGACGACGACTCGGCAGGCTGCGACTCCTCCTCCAGCGGAAACTTCTCAAACATATTCTGCATGACACCACACTTAGCGCGGCCGCCCATCAAATAACGATTGAGGCCAGCCAACAACTTCAACGCGGCATGCCAGTCACTCTTTTTCCAGAGATCATACTCCTTGCTAGCGAGCACGCGGAACACGGGAGCGTCATCTTCGTCCGGAGCTTCATTTCTCTCCTCTTTGAGAGTGTGTAGCCAATCGAGTTGATCGATATCGTGCTCGAGATCTTGCTCGGTGTAGCGGCGATTGGCGTCTCCGGCGCGGAAAGTGTGCAGTTCGGTGTTGGAGGTGTCGACGGGCTTGTACTTTTTGCAGTAGATACGTGAGATCTTGGAACTGGGGAAGATGGCGCGTTGGACGTGAAGTCTGCTGCCGTGAAGGTTGATGAGGAAGACCTCTTGGTCGGGGAGGTGGTGGCGATGGATGTGCATGTGGTGCAGGTTGGTTAGGAGTTGACCGAGGTGGAGTTGGAAGTTTTGGGAGAGGGTTTTGTGGAGTGGTTGGTTGTCGGTGAGGGTCTGTTGGGGGTGTTAGTGGGTTGGTTGGTCTTGATGAAGGGTTGGATAGGAGGGTTGAGGGGGGAAACTATACAGTTGTCATTGGCAGGACGGTGCGTGCATACATAGCATCGGGGTAATAATCAACGACGACGCGGCCGGAGGTACAGGGTCCGTCTTGACGTTTCTCTTTGTAGCCGGTCCAATATTCGAGGTATTCTCCCATGACTTTGGGGCTGGTTGGATGGGAGGTGATGGGGTTAGTGTATCGTTGCTGTGTAGGGTCTGTTAGGGTTGATGTTGTCACGTACTAGAGGTGGAACCAAAGCATGGCCTTTGAAGTCGGGTGCATGACATCCACGTTGAAGAACAATTCGGATATGAGAGCATGAAGTACATTGTCTTGGTTGTAACGTGCTTGTCTGAAGTCAAGGTTGGTTGGACAGGTTGCAGCACTGCCTGCCTCGTCCTCAAAGAGACCTTTATCCCACTGAGGAGAATTCTTAAGATTACGGAAGACGTCGAAGAAAATGGTCTCGAGGGTGGGCCAATTATTCTGATTGACTCGACGTCCGTTTCTGGCGTTGCGGAAGATCCAGACAGCGCGGTGGACGATCTCTAGTATTGAGTTAGCTTTGCTCCTTCTGAGTTGGTTTACCTATGTGCCATGATATGGATAGTGTTATATGCGCTTGGATGGGTATATAGACTCACTATCTTTGTCTGCTCTCTTGAGGTAGCGCAGCGGCACGATATCTTCGTCAGGACGGCTTAGATAGACCCTGGCTTTCATGCCGTGAACTTGAATATCAACGGACTTTGTCTCAGAAACCTCGGGGATCGTTTCCATGACTCTGAAGGCTGGCCATCTGATGTATTCGGTATTGTCAAGTTCCGCGACAGCTCTTTCTTCTGCAGCTGCTTCTGCTCGCTCCTCTTCGATCATCTTTTTCGCAGCTTTCAGCTTCGCGAGGTCCCTCCTGGCTTTGGAGAGCCTGAGACGCGCCGTTGCTTCGGCCACCTTCTTCCGCATCCCCCGGGGATCCATGATTGCGGTGGTTCACGAATGCATCGAAGGAAAATGAGGATGAGAAGAATGATAGAGACGTGTCTGCATCTTCCAGCACAGAGTGCATTCAGAAGATGAGTTGTGGACGTGTTCAGTCGTCGTGGCAAAGGCCATCTTGTGTTAGGAGAGTGAATCTGCGTGCACCGTTTGTGATATCTGCTAATGCGGAGACATCTGGCGGAGACTGATCCGTTTATAATGTTTGAAGATGAGGAAGTTCGTGGTTGCTTTGCATGAAAACTGTGAATGTGACGTTGGAATGCAGCTGGAGGAGAGTGTCATTGTGTTAGATTTACAGAAGTGAACTATATTAATGAGGTTCTCTCGAGGTAAATGGTATTTGCGTGATGTGCTTCAGAGCACGATATCTAGGGTTGTGGTGTTGTTCCTAGCGAGCAACATTGGCGGTTGTGAAAAAGATATATAAGTTAGTTGTGGCACGGTTATCAGCAGTCTCCAACCGGTTGGCACTACCAGATCTATTAACAACTCTTCCCAACTGAATTGAATTAGTACGCATCAATGTTATTCAAAGTATCAGCAATCAAGAGTCTATACCCAAATATCCGTGATTGTCATAGGGTTTCATCTCCGTGGTGTGCATGGTCTCCTCATTATCGCCAGCATTCTTAGTCACATCTCGGTGGGTCACAACTCATCCAACTTCCCCGCTTATCATCAACCTTCGCCCTTCCCCAGGTATATATTTTGAAGCATTACTGCCTTTCGAGGAAACAATATAGGTTATATCAACTGCCAGAAAGAGGAAACTATAGCATCTACAATATTCACGATGTCCAAAGCAACCAGAATCCCCATCCGCACCCAAAAGGCCCCTCTCCCACCGCCATTCCTCTCCCAGGGCATCGTCGTCGGCGACATGGTCTACTGCTCTGGGCAGGTGGGCGTGAACCCTACTACAGGCAAGATGGTTGAGGGATCAATCCAAGAAAGAACGGTACAATTTCTTCTTAACCATATACAGAAAACTCTCTTTCTCGCGGACCATAAGGTGCCTTAAGGCCACTCAGCTAACGGAGTCCAGAAACAAATCCTCAACAACCTAGGTGCCGTCCTAGAAGCAGGCGGCTCTAGTCTCCAGGATGCCGTCAAAGTCAACATATTCCTGGCTGATATGAATGACTTTGCCGCTGTCAATGAAGTCTATAGTTCCTTTTTCGCGGATCCGAAGCCGGTACGTCCCGCCTGATTGCCCCTAGGCAGAGTCACATACTTACAGATAAACCCAGGCTCGTACATGCGTTGCGGTCAAGACATTGCCACTGGGGACTGATGTGGAGATTGAGTGTGCTGGGGTGGTGAGCAGCGTGCCAAGTCGAGGTTCTCGTCTGTGAGAAGCAAGCAATAATGCAGATTCTGGATATGACTGTGATGCTATGCGAGTACATAACTGGACAAATGCAGACAAACATTGCTTATGTGCATATACTCTGCATCTTGGCTGTAGACAACGGATAGACCGGCGAGCCTGGTATGAATAGCCTATGCGTCGACAAGCCCGATTTCTAATGTTAGGTATCGGAATGCCAACGGTGACTTTATGCATGGATTCGAGCGGCAGCTGGGCTTAGTTATGTCTAATGCGACACCGGCTGTCGGATGCAGCTCAGATGGCTGATGCGAGAAGATCATTCGTGCTATTTACTCCGTCCTCCGTGCTCTATGTTGGATCCTCTATCGTAGCTAAGCGAACCATTGTGTCTCAGATCGGCTGGGTCGGTAAAAGCACAGATTCAGCTCCAATGGGTCATGGGTCAAATAAGAAGAACCGATCCGCTATTATTAGCATAGTTCTCCATCTCAGAGTGGCCTTTCGTATAAGCTGGTAGGAAGCTGAATTGTCAGGATTTGCAGTTGGAACAGTTCAGGGATAGTCCACTGCAACTACTGAACTGATCGACCTTTTTCCAGGCTCTGATCCGAACATCGTGACTGTCCCCAGGATTGGATCTGCTGGAGATGGAGGGAATCGCTGGCCTCAAAATGGGCGAGGCTAGTCCGCATGGGGGCAATGCACGCGCCAAGAGCCGACCACCAACCAATGGAATCAAGGGCCACGGTGGGGCAGCAGTCAGGAACAGGCTTAGTGCCTGTTTGAAGTAATTTCCCAGTCCTTGGATCGTTGGCAACTTTTGTCCATGGTTCATTAGATTCAGGGTCATATCCCCCGTCCCAGGAACTGGTCGCATTTAGCATATGATATAATGGTATCAGGATGGAGATATGTGTGATGGGCCTTGCGGTAGAGGTCCTCAAGATACAATGGCCTAGTGAAAATGGTCAGTGTGTGGTCTTACGTCCGTCCAAGGCTTGACTCGAAGACGCTCTTTGAATGGACTCAGCCTACAAGATTAAAATAGCAACGCGAACAATGGTGCCACTGCTGGACGGAGTTCCGTGGGTGCTACGACTCATCTAGCTTTCTTAGTAGTATCACCAAATGTCCACCGTCTCTACTCAATTCAGGCGAACGACGATCCAACTCCCTAAGTATTACAGAGGAACCCATCCGGATTTGGGTCTTATCGAAGCTTTGACTTTCTCGATCTGCATATGCTGCTGAAGCAGTTCTGACCGTCAGCCTTCTAGAGTCGCACATCGCCCTAGGCCATGCTCTTCGTGAGATCCAACACTCGAAGAAGCAATGACCATGGGGCGCTCCTGCAAATCCTTTCTGACTGTGCTGGCCTTGGGTACCAAGAGTCTCAGCCAATACGCGATCTGTGGAATTTTGTACGACTCTGTTCGTGGCAATTCTGAGACTGAAGGGATGGAAAGAGCCATTGTTTCAGCCCTGACGGCGGCCCCCCAGCAGGGGCTGTGAGCGACTCTCTTGCATTTCTGACATTCCAATCATGTCAGGGAGAAAAAGATCGATGATTGCCGCGCTGTCAAAAAGCACCAGCACCGACTGGCGGGTTAGAAGAAGAAGATAGTACGTACAACTCTTATTTTTCCCTGCTTGTGACGGTTGGCGCCGCTGGGCATGCACGTGGTGTAAGACATGAACATGCCTTCCATCGTCTTCCTCGCCCAGCGTTAACCGGGCTGGGTCTTGCTGGAGTCTGAGTGTCGAGCAGGCCCCCCCTCCCATCCTTCGTGAGTAGGCTAAGAAATTAGCCCAGGACTAACGGAATGGAGCACGTTCTCGAAAGGACCTGAGGTCAATAGTGTCCGCCACTAGCTTCTGAATGGAAGAGGATTGTCTTGAAGGCAGCAACTAGAATTTCCCAAGATGCAGTGCTACCAGCATATTAGCACACCACGTACCCATGTCATGGAGCTTGACAGGTATCTCATCTTGAATAGTAAGGCCTGTTGCATACCGGTAGAATGGATGGGACGGGTGCGCATACGTAGTGGCTCCGTACGAGGCACGGATGGTATTGGATGCTTTGGGGTTAAGAAGGGATGGTGAGACAGCCGGGGGTGGATGGCCATCATTGTGACTGACTCAACCCGGCGGGCGGGAGGGGAAGGGGCATCGATAATCTTACTTTTTTATTTTATTTTCTTGGATTTTTTATTTCTTTGCTGGTGGTTGTAATGTTAGGCAGAGAGGAAAGAAACACGGCTTTCCTTCTCAAGGAGGAGGAGGAAATGCACCCGACCGCATTATCTTGGCTGGCAGGTGCATAACCCCATGCTTATCACATTCCTCCGATCCAAGTTACGAAAGAAAAATATCCCTTTTGCTCGCCTGTTCGAACCGAACCAAGCCATGCGATTTTCTCTCTCTTTCTCTCTTGATGATCCTTGCCTGGAGTTGTTTTTGCTCAGTTGCCAGCCCGTCGAGCAGGCTGCAGCACATGTGTTGCTCGTATCACCACGCACCGGGGCTATCCCCACAGCCATCCAGGAACCACCCACACTAAAACGACGCCGTCAGTCTAGGCCTTGTGGTGGTCCGAACCTTGACGGAATTATGCCCTTTGCAGAAGAGGCTGGCGTGCGAGGCGGGAATTACGATGCGCGCCGTACCACTGCTGATCGGCAATTGTCCCTGGCCACTCTCACCGGCCACTTTACGCTGTGCTACCTGTCTAGTGAGTGAGTAAAGTAAAGTCAAGTATGTATCCTTGAATCCTCCGTGACATGCCTGAATTTTGAGGATCCCACTTCAAGTTTATGCATCAATCTTCCCCATTCCTTAGACCGCGATCATTATCTCCCCATACGAGCCGACTTTGATGGGCTAATTTCCTTACCATTCCCCTGCGACATCCCGGAATGATTGGACAGTTTGTCAACATCGCCACCAATCGTTCTCTGGCTCCGTGAGGTAGTGCAACTGCCGGGCTGTGTCGTCTTTCTGATTCTATGCACCTTCTGCATGCTGCGGCATCAACCCAGCCTCGAGCAAACTGCCAGGGCATATGACAGCCCGCAGCCTACAGTATACCCTGCCATGTTCTGCTTTACACTGCACACAAAGTGCGCGGAGGAGTTCCCGATCTGTGAAGAGGAGATACCTGATTGACACCTTGTGCTCCATATCTGTTCGGTTGACGAGACCCTAGTATGTCGATCGAAATACACCATGCTACCCCTCTTTCAACGTCTAGACTCCCCAAAGAAGAGTTCTGTCCATTGCATATCATGCGATCTATGGCCTGAACCACTCGGGGTGAGGGTGTTCTCAATAGTTCCAGCGGTAGCGAGCTCGGAGTTGGTCTTGATGTGCGCCGTTGTAGATAGATACTGCACTATAGACGGAGCGCGGCCATGGTCAGTACCCAAATAAGCTCTCTTCTCCGTATACTATTGATCGTTTGGCATCTAGTGTACCTTTTGATGGGGGGTTCGACCAGGACGGCATGCGTACATGCCTTCTCCATTGGGACGTTCCTCCAGCCAGACACGCACATACAGTCCGTTCACACTATCCATTCATTCATTCGGCCATTAGTAAATACACTCATACATATTAGCCGGGATGTAATGACTTGTAGTGCATGAGGTGTAGGCAGAGAGTCCAGAACCTGTGACACGCAACGACAGCAACGACAGCAACTCCAGTATCAAATAGCAAAGACCTAGAACATGCTCAACCCCAGGTTGTTGCGGGCATTTGTCGTCAGTGAGTGAGCAAATGTGCAATTGGGCTAATGAGGATGCGAGGTGAAGATACGGCAACCAAGGTACAATACCGTACGGCAAGAGGTGGGACGAAGTGGAAGGGGGCCCACCTCTACCCGGTGCGTGTGGTTTATGGCCTTGTCATGGGGTGGTTGGCATTGTAGCCACGGCCTTTTCCTTTGCTTTTCCCGCGTGCTTCCTGCCTTTTTCCCCCTCTGCTTTGGTGTGCCTCGTTTTTCCCCTGCCGTGCCTTTTTCCCTTCCTTCCCTCCTCCCCCCCCTTTTTTCCAGTGGTACCAAACCACAACTCCCACAGCCCAACCCGGAAATCCAAGTGGTGGTGGTAAGAGCTAAGTAAAGTAAAGTCAAAAAGTAAAAGCCGGGCCCCAAAATAATCAAATCTACCAAAAAAAGGCGATGACACGGACCGGCAAACCAACTAAGCCAAACTAATCCAAACCGCCAGCCAGAAGTAATCTCCCCTTCCCTCTCACTCTCCTTTCATTCATTTTAGTGCTGTTGTTATTATTACTGTTCCTAATTACTACCACCATTTTTTTGATTTTGATTTTTCCCGTCCTTCCTTTGGTATTATTATTATTCTTCTTCTTCTTCTGCTTCTTCACTTTGCATCGCCTATCTTTCTTTTCATTCTTTACTACCATCCTTTCCCTCCTCCTCTCTCTTCCTCTCTCTTTCCCCCCCCTCTTCGCCCCGTTTTTGCTTCGCCAGCGCCGGTGCTTCGTTGACGTAGCCCACCTGCGAACACCTTTTCTACGTCAACGAGCCGTTGGGACTTGCCAATTCATCCTCAGCCTTTCTCTCCTTGCATCCCATCCCCCTCCCACGGTCGCGCGCCCTCTTCAGGTACTACCACCACCTCCAACCGCCGTTCACCATAACAACCCACCCCCCTCCTCTCCACTACCATTACCACCTCCACCTTTCCCCCTCTCCACGGCCGTTTTTCTCACTTAACATCCCTTTCTTAGATCTTGTCGCTCGCTCCTTACCGCCTCTACACTCGTTATTGTTTTGTTTGCTGGTAGTTTTCGTGAGGGGTTACTGTTGGTTTCTCATCGACCACACCCCCTGCCGCTCTTTGAACTCGCTTTGTTTATACCGAACTCCCGCCGTTGGTGCGCGCACATCCATCCGTCAGCTGTCAGTGCACTATTAGAGCTTGTCGCTATCGATACTTTTGATTCGGAGATTTTTTTGGTGGATATAGTTTTGTGATATCTGCAAAATTTCTGGTTGTTGTTCGACTCAATATACCAGGAAGCTTACCGACCGTTGTCATCGCATCCCCAGCCGTCGACCGATTCGGGATATCGCCATCGCTCGCGCCATCCTTCTATTGAGATAGGTTCGCTTCAAGTGGTTCAATTCGTCGAGAGGTGGATATACGAAAACGCCGGGAATAGGACATCTATATAGCCCGGGGGTTAGACTATTCGAATTTCCAACCACCGACCCCATGCATCAGCAATCTCAACGACTGGCTTTGATCCTTGACGTTTGAATACTCCGTGCCTTGGGATATTTGGTTTTGGAGGTTCCCATCTGAGCCTTCGCTCTGTCCATTCATTTCAGCATTGTTACGGTCTTTTCGACCACCTGACCACTCTTTATCGCCTGCTATTGTTACCTAACTATTCGAATCAATATGATTGCGCCCACGACTTCGTTGTTGGCCGCGTTCCTGTCCTTGGGCGGCCTCGAGCTCGTCGCAGCCCGGGAGGCAGGACAGATCCGGGACTTGGGAGCGCGTGAGGTTAGCTCCGCCGTTCCTGGTTCCTCCCAGCCCGTTACGCCTGTCGAGTTGACGACCAGGTCCGAAACGAGTACACATGATTCAGCGCCCACCTCGGACAATGAACAAACAAGCCCGATCGTTGACCCTTCACCTGCTGTTATCGTTGTTCCTGTAACCATTTCCGTGGACGCCAATGGTGTTACGCATACTATTGTGGGCACGGCACCCAACGTTCCCGGTGCTTCAACGACAACTAGCTCTACCCTTGAGCGTGCAGAGAGTACCCCGGCGGCAGCAGCTGCTACTTCGACGGCGAGCGCGACTACATCCGACAAGGATTCAACTACCAGTGACTCGAAAAAGCAGAAGTCTACCTCCGAATCCGAGAAGCACACTTCCGCGTCTGAATCGTCAGCGAAACCAGAGTCAGCTTCTTCGTCAGCAGCAGCAACGACGGCAGAGACAGCTTCTTCGTCGGCCGCAGCGGCAGCAGCAGCAGCTACTACATCTAGCCAGAGTTCGTTGGCTGACTCCTGGGAAAGCTTCATTTCAAGTATCTTGGGGTCCTCTACCAGCACCAGCGCAACCTCCACGGCCAGCCCTACCGCATCGCCAGCCGAGTCCAGCTCTGCAACCCCAGCTCCCGCTTCAAGCTCTGCTGGCGTCATTGTAGATGTTACCTCAAGCAAGAGTTCTACAAGCGATAGCTCGACGACCTCGGAGAGCTCTACGGCTAAAGATTCCACCACTCAGAGCTCTTCCAGCCCAGCATCCTCGACCCCAGCTTCCACTACGGAGTCTTCGACCGAGGCTTCGCAGTCGGAATCTGCCACTGCTAGCTCGAAGGCAGAGACTTCGAGTCAACTTATCACTAGCCAGAGCGCATCTGCCCAGAGTTCTTCCGCTCAGGTCCCTCTGGCTGAGTCTACTTCGAAGTCTGAATCTTCAACCCAGAGCTCCTCGAGTCAGGTTACATCCGTTCAGGCCACCTCGTCAGGCGCAGCCTCTCAGACTACTGGGTCAGCATCATCGAGCCTCATCCCGTCTGCATCTGAAGACGTGACCTCTTCTTCTTCCACCCCCTCATCATCAGGAGGTGTCCTCGGCTTCCTCTCGGACCTCTTCCCTACTACCACCACTTCCAGCGGATCTGCCTCTGCTACTAGCAAGAGTGCAAGCGAGTCTGCCGACTCCAGTGCTTTCCCTCTGAGCCTCCCTACCATTTCCGTCAGTGTTCCTGTAGTTACACCTGCCTCATCTTCTGGGTCGGTCAATATCGTTTCTGCCCTACTTGGCACATCCTCAGGCGCTTCCTTGGAACCTTCGGCCATTAGTCTGGGTATCTCGGCCACTTCCACGGCTCTTATCCCCGGAGCTTCCAGCGGAACCCAGAGCTCCTCAGCGGGAGCCTCGACTCCGATAATCAGCGGTGGCATTGTCATCGTGCCCACTTCGACTGAATCTGCTTCTGCTTCCGTCTCAGGATCTGCCTCGACGGGTCTTTTTGGAACCACTTCAGAATCAGCATCTTCATTGGCTTCGGGATCCGCCTCTGGATCTGCGGGCGTTATTCCTACATCGGTGTCTGGGTCTGTATCTGGATCTGCAGGACCGTTCCCTACGTCGGCGTCTGGATCCGTTTCGGGATCTGCAGGTGTTATTCCTACATCGGCTCCTGGCTCTGCATCTGGATCTGTGTCGGGATCTGCTTCTGGATCCGTTTCAGGCTCTGCCATTGGCACCAGCTCTGCATCCAAGTTTACCTCCATTTCTGGCCCTGCCTCTTCGATCCCCTTGATCACTTCCACCAAGGAGTCCTCGGGTCTGGTATCTGCGACGCCTTCCTATGCCCCGTCCACTACCAGCAAGGAAACGCCCACGCCTATCGCACAACCCACCACGACGACCACCTCGGCCGCTGAGACGACTGTCGCCCCGAAACCGACCACGACCACCTCCGATTCTGACAACTACCTGCCGTCAAGCATTCTCGTGGTTGAGCCCACCACTACTACGTCACTGAGCACGGGCACAGCTACCCATTCGAGTACCAGTACTGCTGCTGCTCAGCTTCCTGGATCGATCTCTCCTTCTGGTGGTCTTCCCGAGCAGCCGGCCAACGATACCTTGGTCCAAATCGGTTTCAATGGCAAACTGCGCTGGAGCTTTGTGGCCACAACGCCCTTGTCTTCCTCCCAGATCTTTATGTATGTTCCCGAGGGTATGGGCTACGCGTTGCAGCTCAATGACTCTGACGTGGTCATGTACGACCTCCAACCCTACGACAACTCGGCAAGCACTGGCTACATTGCTACCGTTGCGCTGATGTACATCCCTTCGGATGACGTTGACACCCTGAGAAAGATGCTCCACAACCCCATTTCGAGGCTCTACGAGCAGCCCAACGAGACAGTCAAGACATTGATGGCCATGATCGACCCTTCCATCCCTCTTCTGGTGGGCGACTCGGGTTCTTCCAGTGGCAGCTCGTCCAACAGCGGTGGATCGGGTAGCAGCAGCAGCAACGGCGATGGCAGTGACGGTGGCTACGACCAAAGCGATGCTGGTACCAGCTCATCTGGAACCACCAAGGCTAGTGCCGTTGGTATCGGATGTGGTGCTGTGGCCGGTGCTGCAGCATATGGTGCTGGTATGTTCTGGGTTGCGCGTCGGTACCGGAAGAAGCGCCAGTTGCACCAGCGCTCCCCCTCGAGCGTCGACCAGATGAGCGAAGGCCGCGGCGCTGGGTCCGTCTTCGGCGCAGGTGGCCGTCTCTCCCGCAACAGCCAGAACAGCCGGGGCACTGGCCGTACCCAGATGATCAGCGCGCCGGTGATGGCCGAGAACTCGCTCGGCTGGAACTAAGCCCATCAGTATTTCTCCTATAAACCATGGATCGTGTACTTTGTTCAATACTAGACAGGGCCAAAATATAAGCCGAAGCCATGACGCAACGCTCTAGAGAGGTTGTTGGGGGCGTTGGGCCCCTAATCTGTGTGGAATACATACCAAGCGTTGTTGATGTTGCCATTTGTTCCCAACTGTATTCACATTTTATCTTGATATGCCATCGCGTCCTCATTTCCCTGGCATTTGTTTGATTATATCCTTTTTCTTTTTCTTTCTACTCTTCTTATTCCCCACACGTTTTGTGCCATTTTCCACTACCTTTTTCATCCATACCATTCTTACTCTCCTTATGGTGACACAGAAAAAAAGACCTGCCACCGCAATCACTTTTTTACTCTTCTTCATATCCCATTTCTTATTTTCTTTCCATCCTCTCCCTATGATCATCCATCTTCCCTCAGGCATGGATCTACCTATTCCTCCTGACTGAACTCACCCCCTCCCCTACGCTTTTCTTAATGATTGGGTGGTAGGTATCTGCTGTGACGAGTGAACGCCGTGCTATACTCTCCTACCCCGCGTTTTGTTTTCTACCTCTTTGTCCGTCCTTTTTTATCTCGCTATGTGTACAGATGTATATTTCTCTTTTTATCAAGTAGATCGAAATGCAAGCATGCAAGCTAGCTGTTTAGCTTAGCCTAACTGGTTGGATTAAATCTGACTAGGTTGGGTTGGGCTGAATGAAAATGTTCAAATGTGGTTGATTCTTTTGTAGAGATGTAGGATGTAGTATTTCTCTGCTTTGAGGTGTGAAGGTATTTTGAAGAGGTACCTAGGTAGGGATTGTTTCTGTTGATAGGCAAATGCGGAGGACCATTGAGTAGGAAGTAATGTGTTTGACCTGGCCCTTGAATGATGTGGTTCGTGATAATGATGATGACTGATGATGTTTGGCTGAAAGGAGAGCAGAAAAAACGCTAAGAGACAATTATTATGTACAGTACAGAAATGCAGCGGAGAGAGAGGCGAATGATAAGAAAGTCAGAAAAAACCATTTCATCCATCCATCCGTCCATCCCTCCATCGCCAATGACATAAGAAAAAAACCGAGCTAAAAAGAGGGGGATAAAGAAATAAAGGTATAGAAAGAAAATCAATCAATCACTCAATCACTCATTCTTCTCTTTCGAATTCGACCCGAAACCCAACAACGCCAACGGGCCCTTCTCGCCGCGCTGCTCACGCTCTTGCATGCGCTGCTCCTTCGCTCGACGGCGTTCCTCCTTATAGTTCTCCCAGGAGACATTAGCATCGTAGCCCATGACCTCGCCGTTATTCTTCTCAGCCTGGAACTTAAGGAAGTGGCTCAGAGAGGTCTCCTCGTCATGAGGTGTCCTCACGGCCTGAGGCAACGGACGGACGGCATCTTCACCGGCATACGCACGGAGTCCGGTATGGAAGGCCCATTCGACGGCCTCTTCGACGGGTTTGTCGAATAGGTAGGGGAGGAAAGGCACGACGGAGAGACCGAGCTAGTATATTTATATGTGTTAGCGGCGGGTACTGATATGATAAAGTACGTATTCCTGAAACGAACGGGGGAAACTCACCCCAATAGGCGCCCAAGTACGGAAAAAGACACTCCGGGAATTCTTCAACATGCGCCCAGAGTACTTGACCACCGAGTGAATGGTAAAGGCCGGAAGACCCATACTGGCGATACCTTGGAACACGGCGCGCTGGGCCATGACGGTGCGGTAGTCCTCAGCCAGGGGAACGTGAGTCGTGGGCCATGGCATCAGCGTATCGCTGCTGCTACTGCCTGTTAAAGAGCCGGCGATGTTGCCGGTTACCATGCCCTTGGCGACTTGCTCGTGGGTGAGGTCGCTGGCATCTTTGTAGGCCTCGCAGGGAGGCGCTAGGACGCGGCGATTGCGGAGGTAGGCTTTGTAGCCTTCGTGGGCGACATCGCCAATTAGATAGGTCCAGGAAATGCCGTAGGCGGATCGCACTAGCCAGGGGTGCGCCACGGGGCGAAAGGATTCGCCTATGTCGGAGGTGTAGGCGACGTAGCGGTGGGCGGAGAGTAAGACGGTGCGGAGTCGGTTGGCGTATCCGGCGTAGCGGTAGGGGGTTTCGGTGGAGTCTACGGAGCTGTAGTAGAGGTTTCTTGGTTAATGATGAATAAGTTGGGGATGGTTGGTGTGGATGTGAGAGAGTTGCTTTTTTGGTGGTTTTCTTGCGGGGATCGGAAAATGCGGGGAGAACACAACGCGGAGATGGGAGTGCTTTTCTTCCCTCCCGACACATCGACACTAAAGTTGGGAAAGGGATGGTGTCACACGTACTATGAGGAATAGATGTCATCGTAGAAACTGTCGTCGTTGTCGGCTAGTCTTTGCAAATGTGAAGGGAGCTTTTTGCGAGGAATGGGCGGTTGTTGGGCCGCTTCGGGCGTGTCGTCGTGATGCTTTCCCCAGAACATGATGTGATGATGGGACAAATGCGATGGTCGGAGTAATGAGCAACGCTTGGATGAGAGGTGAGAAAAAGGGAAGAGAATGGAAAATGAATTTCTAGCAGACTGGAAAAAAATGTGGATGGGAGTTTGAAGCGAGGAATGGAGATTAGTAGTAAGTAGTAAATCAAGGGGGAAGAGAAGCAAGAGATGGTGACTTCAAATCCAGACAGCTAGAAAGTCAACAGGAGCTCCAGCAAATCCAGGGCCGAAAGAAACCATGGACTGACAGCATCTTATAGCACCGGCGATTCGCTGCAAGAATAACCGCCAGCAGTAACCGACCAGCAGCAGCTCTCAGAGCATAGCCGGGGGATTTCTCCACGTCTCGTCCAGGGATGATTTCACTTCCCCCGAGGTTCGGATGGGGGGAGCTTTACTATAACTAAGCTTGGTGGAGAGAGCTGTGTGATGACACCGCCACATACTATGATGGTTTGCTAGGTTGGTGGGTAAATTAGCCTCTACGGTGTACAAGGTACTCGGTGGTCAGACGTTGGCTGTAGCTTTTGTATTTTGCATCTGCAGGGTGTTGTGATACCGCAACTCTTCGTTTCTTTTCAGGGCATCTCTAATCATGCCATCATATCCCGTGATGTCTTCCCGGGACCCTCACGTGTCGGGCACTTTCGGGACATCACGTGAGATGCAAGCTAGCTCGCGTGACATCTTACTAGGCTGACTCATTACTGACTCAGCATACACGCCAGTCCCAAACAGGCAAGGACCATAGCCGCAACTTCCATCGCTGCCGTCCAACGACTGATTCCCGTTGGACCTCGCATTGCACCGCTACATCCGCCGCTCTGACCTGACCGTTCTCCATTGAACTCTCTCCTCCAATCCGTCATCATGGTCGTCTACTACCAGATCGCCGGCAAGCAGGTCGGCTCCCACGTTGTACGTCTCCGTTGCCGCCCCGTTGCAACCCTCCCCTGTCCCGGGACCAATCTCTGCCGAGGTCATAACATCGGCCGATGGCATACCCTACCAGCTACCTGGGAACTTGTACACTGACTACTTGACTCTGTATAGCTCGCCATGAGCGTTCTCGGTGCTCTCTTCGGCGGTGTTGGTCTCGCTACCCGTGGTGGTGGCCAGCCCAAGCCTGCCACCCCTCCCATCCAGGCTTCCTCCAAGGATGAGGAGACCTTCATCCAGTACGTACCGCCTCTGTGGCAGATGGACAGATCTGCAATCACAACTATGAATGATCTGGTCGGGGTGCTGGAATGCAAGCTAACGTTTCTCACAGGGACTTCTTGAAACAAGTGAATGGAGACGAGAAGAAGAAAGACCACTAGAATACCGCTTTAATACGGGAATCGGTCGAGGACAAACAACCTAATTGAAGATGCTCGATGCATGATATCCATGACCGAATGGGTCGTTGTTCAGGGTGGTCTGGATTCTACCCTGCCGGGCTCGGGCAGTGTCCTTGAAATCTTGCCTGCTGGGACGGTTTGGCGGTTCCACGGGAGGTGTGAATCTGTACATATAGAGTATACACCGTGAACGTTTGTTCTCCAACTTTGCCGTGTCTGGAACTGGTAAAATCTTTACAAAGAGGTGCTATATCGGTGTAGAAGTAAGCATGCGTGTAACAGCCAGCAGATCACTACAACCAAGAGTATCCAGTATTGACTGGGAATAAACACCACTGGCCACTACAATCTGTTCCTGGTTTATAGATTCTTACAATATGTGCCTGTAGTAACCACACCCACCAATCACTCAATACCTACCAGTCACACAGCCAACCAGTCACCTGACCATATCCAACCTTTCACAATAACATCCCAACAACCAACCAACCCACAACTTGACCACTCCCACCAACCCACCTAACGAACACAACCACCATGAAACAAACCCCCTTCCCCTTCGCCCTCAACATCGGCACCGACATCGTCCACCTCCCACGAATAACCCGCCTCCTCGCCCGCCCCAACTACCTCACCCGCTTCACGCACCGCATTCTCCACGCCCGCGAACAACAAGACTTTCGCACCCGCTTCTCCCTGCCTCCATTGCCCTCTTCCATCCCAGCGAAAACGCCAACTACCCCTAGCATAAGTATATCCCCCGACATGACGCGGTGGCTCGCCGGCCGGTTCGCGGCCAAAGAGGCAGCGCGCAAAGCGGCGCCCCGTGGTGCGGCGCATATTAGCTGGAAGGATGTGGTGGTTACAGTGGGGGAGGAGGGGGGGAGGCCGGAGGTGGTGTATTTAGATGGGGATGGGGATGAGGCTGGGAGGGTAGGGAAGTTGTCCATTTCGCATGATGGGGAGTATGTCGTTGCTATGGTGGTGGCGGCGGGGTGAGATTTATCCTTCTAGGAGTATATGGGTTTTCATGAGAGTTTTCATGCGGAGGATATAGGGAAGATACTAGACGCGGACTGGATTCGGACAGTCCACTGTGATGCTGAGACGGTTGAATCGTGGCTATAGCTGCGATGGGGGTAATATTTGGATGGAAGTGTGAAGATAGCCCTGCTTGGTGGGAGGAGGCATCTGGTAGAGCTAGCTGGCTAGCTTTGTATACTCACTGGAGTGTATCAATAGATGTATACTAGAGTACAATAGTAATGGATGCACAATAAGTCGCATAAATATTGGAATATCGTCTGTAGACAGCGTGATCACCATCTCGTATCTGGAGTCGGAGATGCTGGCGGAGCTGCCGGTCGAGCAGAACATCCGTCCAGATTGACTCGCCGCAACAACTCCTGCTTCTTCACACGGTCCTCTTCACCACCTCCTAGTTCAGGTTCACGTTTAAGCGAGTTTGTCAGTGGCTGACCAGTTATAATCAGCCTGACACTCACGAGCTCCGGCTTGCTTCCCCTTATATACCGGCAACAACAACAGCAACCCCTCCATCGCGGGGTAACCGGCCGCGGTAAGTGATACTCATCGCATCATATCACGACTTCAATCACAACATCTACCCTCTAAGTCTACTTCACCTGCTAATATACCTCTCCAGATGCCCTTCTCTCATCACAGCCACTCCGGGCAATTCTGCCCTGGCCATGCCAAAGACAACCTGGAAGAAATCATCCAGCTGGCCATCTCCAAGAAATTCCACACCTTCTGCTTGACGGAGCATATGCCCCGCCATGAAGAAGATTTCTACCCAGAAGAGGTACTCTCTATCCCAGAAACACCGGCTTATCGTACCCTATAGCCATTTAATTAACTAACCAACCCAGATCGAAGCCGGCGACACCGAATCCAGCCACGTAGCCAACGAAGCAGCCTACTTCGCCGAAGCCACGCGGCTCCGATCCAAATACGCCGATCAAATCAACATCCTCATCGGGTTCGAGATCGACTGGATCCGGCCGGGCTCGCGACAGCTAATCGAGGAGTCTCTATCGCGGCACCCCTTCGAGTTCTTCATGGGTTCCGTGCACCATACGCTCACCGTCCCTATTGACTATGACCGGCCGCTATACGAGAAGGCGCGTACGCTAGCCGGCGGGACAGACGAGTTGCTCTTCGAGGCATACTTCGATGAGCAACTGGATATGCTGAAGCAGGTGAAGCCGGTAGTAGTAGGGCATTTCGATCTGATTCGGTTGAAGAGTGATGATCCCGATCGGAGCTTTCAGCAGTATCCTCGGGTCTGGGAGAAGATTCTACGGAATTTGGACTACGTGGCGGGATATGGGGGATTGTTGGAGGTGAATTCGGCGGCGTTGAGGAAGGGCATGAAGGAGCCGTATCCGAATGGGGAGATTTGTCAGGAATTTCTGGCTCGCGGCGGCAGGTTTTGTCTGTCGGATGATAGTCATGGATTGGAGCAGGTTGGGCTGAATTTCCATCGCGTGGTGCCGTTCTTGGAGCAGGTGGGTGTGTCAAAGCTACATTATCTGGGACTGGGGGAGGGTGGTAATGATGATGGTGCGCCCGTTGATGCACGGTTTCCGAGGACGCAGATCAAGGAGGTGTCGTTGGAGGAGGTGAAGAAGATGTCGTTTTGGGGGTAAGGATGGAGCAGAGCCACGAAGTCAGGAATGATTTGAGGGGAGGGGAGTTGACAGGGATGCATCACATGCATGGGGATTGGGGTTGCATGCATTGACAGTTGGTGAGATTTAGTCTTTTTTGCTTTTCCCCATCTGAGATATCACACGGGAAGAAATAAATGTGGATGATTGATGAAGATGTTGATGGATTAGTTACTAATAAGAGTAAGTAGCTCTGCTGGTACTGGGGCCATGAGCGGCCAGCCGGCCAGCCAAGTACAATGCTAACTAGACCAGACAATCAAATCATGTAGTAGAAAAAATAATAAATAATACAGGCGGCACAGGCGGCAGCCAGTATCTTCTACCAAGTAGCAATTGGAACAACATTCTATTTTAGCTGCAGACGGGCAATGAGGCCACAGCGAGAAGGCAATTAATAAGTAGTGAAGTAGTAAACGTAACTTAACTGGACTTTTCCGCGCCAAGCGAACCCACACAGGCGGCGCGAATCTTCCATCATCATCAGTCAATCATCATCGCATGCCCTCTCTTTTCCCCCAATATATCAAACCTTATCCTTTTCTTGCCCCCCTCCTCCCCTCTTCTTGTAAAGTAGTAATAATAATATTAGCAGTAGTAGCAGTAAATGATACACCGCCAACCCAAAGTAATCAATTTAGTTAGTAAATTGGTCTCGCCCTGAAATAATTAAATCCAAAGTATAAATCAACCAACTGACCCCCCGCCCCCACTTGGCCCGATTCTTCTTCGTTTTCCATCATTTCTGCTTCACCTTTTCTTCTTCTCTATTTTCCCCTCTTCTCTCCATCAAATTTCATATTCTGAAAATACACATCTATCACAATGGGTGTCACCAAGACCATCATCTCCCCTGGCAACGGCCAGCAGTTCCCCAAGCCCGGTGACCAGATCTCCATGCACTACACTGGTTGTCTGTATGATGAGAACGCCCCTAACAAGATGGGCAAGCAGTATGTTCGCCCCTTCCTGCCTTCTTTCTCCCTCTTTCTCTCTCTCTCTCCATAGCCTTTAAAGTAGATGTCCATGACAGTGGCTGTACTGCGCTATATGGACATTCTAAATGGACAAAGAAATGAAAGAGAATCTGACATCATCATACTAATTTAATGAAATCAACAGGTTCGACAGCTCCCGTGGTCGCGGTGCCTTCAAGACTGCCATCGGTGTTGGTGGTCTCATTAAGGGTATGTTTCATCGCCTCTATCTATTATTTATAGATATATTGATTTGAATGAAATGGACTAATTTACTAATTAATTAATTAATTATTCAGGCTGGGATGAGGCCGTCCCCCAGATGAGCGTTGGCGAGAAGGCCATCCTGACTATTTCTCCGTGAGTTATCTCCCTTCCTCCCACTCACCCTTAAAAAAAAAAGAATGCTATAGTTGGTATGAAATTCGTATTCTAATATACTATGTACAGTGACTACGGCTACGGCCCCCGTGGTTTCCCTGGCTTGATCCCCCCTAACTCGACCCTTGTTTTGTAAGTTACTTTTTACCCTGTCAATGAAGAAGGGAATACTGATGATTATTAGCGAGGTTGAGCTGCTCGGCATCAACTAAACCCGCTATATTATTATTCATTCATATAGTATAGCAGGGTTGCAATCAATCAAATAAATGGTTAAAAACGGCGGCTTTTTTGTCGATTTTACATTACTACTTGACTTACTTACTAGATCAATACAATCGATCAGTCGAGGAATCATTCTTTACCAAAGTATGTAGATGGTAGTATAGCATCCTCCATTACTTGATATAGTAGTCATCCTATATACATGCTGATAATACTCTGCTCACCGAACAATCGTATTAATATAATCAATCCCCTCCGTCCGGAACGTATCCTTCTCCACATAACTCTCGTCCCTTGGTACCCGGAACACAAAGTCCTGAGGATCAGAGAGGTTGTATTTCGGCCAGGTGGGGATACCGGAGACTGTCACCATTGTCAGTATCACATATAAGGAAAGAGAGGGAAAGAAAGAGAAGAGATACATACCACCATGTCCATTCGGATCCAAATCCGACACAAAAGCCGTCCACATCCTCGCGGCCAAATTACCCAATTCTAGTCTCGCTGGATCACTTCCCAGCGGAGTGATGTTTTGCACCGGATTGGCGAAAACGAAGGGGATCTATACATCCCGACATACACATATATCATCAGTCACCAAACCATATGAAATCAATTTAAGGGGGGGAAATGGGTAAGGGATAGTATTACCTCCGCAAAATGCGCCACCCCAATCGTACTCGAATCATTCAACGCAGCCACATCCCACCGATACGCAAATACCTGCTGCTGCTCATACTCCTTCATCTTCTGGGAAAGCAATCTCCTCGGAGCAACCATGCACAGATCACCCGCCATCGACTCGTAGCGCTTATATTCATATCCGAGTTTCGGCCACGTCGTGTTGCCCCATCCGTAGGGACAGCCTAGGGCGGAGATGTTGGGGTAGTGGGAGAGGAGGGTCGTGGCTTGGGTTTCGTTTAGGACCCAGCGTTTGGATGCTAGACCATCATTCTACATTAGTATCATGATACAAGCATATATATTTTGGAGATTGGAGGGAGGGGGCTCACCTGTCAACTGCTGAATAGCTTCCGCATCAGTGTTCACGCCTGATGTACCGAAACTCACGCCCTCGTCGGTGTTAGTCCCGTGAAGGATGGGAACCTTGGCGAAGCGGCCCTCTGTGTAGCTGATTTGAGGGTATTCTTTGATGAAGGTGCCATCGATGGTGGCGAACCATTCCAGGCCGAGGTTGGCGGCCGTGTAGATGGTGGAGAAGGGGACTTCGCGGAGGCATTGGAGGGTGTTGGATGAGGTGGTGCAGCTGGATTTAGTTAGTATATCTAGTACTTATAGTGGGTGTTTGGGTGTTGCCTTGAGGGACGGGGGCATACTTGGTCGCGTTCACGATCTGGTCGTACATCGGCTGGTACCAGTCTGTGCCGTTGTACGGGGGTCCGACGGCGTTGCCGGATTCCATGATGGCTAGTAGAATGTTGCTTAGTGTGTGGACTGGATTGGAGCATGGGTGAGGGGCATACCGGCTCGGAATAGACCCTCGTTGTCGCCGTCGTTGGTGACGAGGTGGGCTCCGACGCTGTAGGCGCCACTATTCATGGATGTTAGATGCGCTGTCTATATGGAATATGGGTATACTCACGCTGATTCTCCCCAAATGGTAATCTTGTCCGGATCACCACCGAACGCCTTGATATTCTGCTTGACCCAGTGCATGGCGACGCGCTGGTCACGCAGTCCTAGGTTCGTGTTGCCGGATTCCTATAAATGTCATGTCAGCTGGAAGCATATACTTGAGGGTTATGGTAGTAGCGCACCATGACCTCAACAGAGTCAAGGAATCCGAACGCAGCCACACGATAGTTGATCGAGACACCCAAGACGGGCTTATCGTTCAATGCGCCCTGGCGGACGATGTAACTCATATTGTATCTTGCACATTATCAGCATCAACCAGCTCAACACAGTACAAAAGCATAGATCATACCTCGGATCAGCAGTCGCACCCTGCACCCAACCACCACCAAAGATCCAAATCATAACCGGCAACAACTCATCCTCACTCTTCCTCTTGGGCCGAATGACATTCAGATTCATACAGTTCTCGTCGAACCGCGCATATCCCTCCTCCGCCAGCTCTGTCTCGTCGGATCCATACCCGGGACAATCATATCCATACTCGGTGGCGTTGTACAGCACTGTCCCTGAGGAAGTCTGCAGCCCTGATGCCGAGGAGGCATGGTATACCCCGTTGTCGCTGTCGTTGGCGCGATAGGCAGTCTTCAACGTCGAAGGGGTGAATCGCACGGGCTCGTCTGCAAACTTGATACCTAGGAACAACTCCTGCTCGAATTCGGGCAGGGAACGGCCAACGAAGACGGTGTTGTTGAGAGTGGCGGTTGGGACTGAGTAGGTGTTGTTGTTGCTGCCTGCGTCTGCTCTCTTAATGGTAGGGGTATTACTGGTATCTAGAGCGGAAGATAGGGCGCTGCTCCCTATGAGGGAGAGCCAGAGGAGTGTGCTCGCCATGGCTGCTACTTTGCTGGCCTGTCAATTGACTCAGTCACTGGAGGAGGAAGCCAGCTAGCTAGCTACGAGACGAGTAATGCTGACCTTTATTAGAGACCTAGGGGTGGCAATGAGCAGCTGAATTAATTCTCCGAGAGAAAGAATAATAATACATGACTAAGGAAGTGAAACTCGCAATCATAATTGATTAACGCCGAGCAAAGCTAGTCTGTTTCTTACATGGACGTGGGGCGTCCCATTGTATAGAGGAGGATGGGATCGATTATCAGTGGGATTGATGTCATCTGGGATGATAATCTGACTGCTCATGGTTAGTATCTCCGAAGCAGTAAAAGACAGTCAAGCTTGATTGACTCAGGGATGGATGTATCTTGCGGGGTTAATGTTGGGGTGCATGCAGCTGCCAGCAACAGTCGTGGCTTTGCAGCATGTCGATGCAGATTATAGGTGGAAAGTTGGTGATGAGGAGCCAAGACGCGATGGGATGACCTAGTGAGGAGCTAAATGCTAGTTTCTCCGGCGGGAAAAAGACCCTGGTTGGTACCCTGGCTGTGGGGATTTTGTGGACGATTATGGACTCGGGGCTGAAATCGAGATGGGTGTAGTTTGTCTCGGATAAAGATCAAAAATGGAGGGTTGAGTGGGGATGATCATGATCGGCTGACTTGCAGTGCACAAGGAGGATAGACAGACTATACACAGAATATTATTCTCGCTATCACCACATCTCACCCGTCAGCACCATCAGGGTATAAGGGATGGCCGATGAGGATGCGAATGGAGACACGCATTGCTCTAGTTATATCAATCACAATGCCACCGGCACTCTCTTCTAAATACAGAAAACCAAGACTAGCACAAGATCCCTAACACCAAACAATCAGTCGGCCACATCAATTATAGTCATAAGACGACGCATCCCCGTCGCGCCGTGCTATGCTTCAAGTGCACGTGTAGTTGGTATCGCCCAAGTTAAATACCTGCCCGTCATGCAGTCACCACTGCACTCGGGCGAAAGAGCAAAAATAAGTATTATGAAACAACAAATCAAGGAGCAAGCTTCCGAGCCACGGAGATGGCGCGCTCGGGAGCGTATTTGCCCATCAATCATCTTTCGCCCTGTCCCCTCCAGAACGAGTCCGGCTCGTCCCAGGTGAAGGGCTGAGGAAACGTCCCCGCAACGCTGTTCCTTCGTGAAGGCTTGATCCCGACCGTAGCAAATCGGGTCTCCACCGAGGCTCGGAGATCGCATTCGACGAGCTGCGAGACTCCATCCCGTCGTCCAGCTCGATGAGATCGCCGTTGCCGCGTCGTCCAACGGCCTGTGCGGGGTCATGGGTTACCGGGCCAGGCGTCTGCTGCAGTTCATTCAAGCTGGCCTTGGCTCGAGTCGTCATTTTCCTGACCCACGACTCGACTGCTCCGCCAAGGTTGTCCAGGCTGGTTGGTGTGTTCGCGGCCGCCGTCGACACACTTTCCGACGAGCTTTCGAAATTCGGCGGGCGAGCCACGGGCGCAAGATTCGGCATATGCTGTGCAAAGAATTTGCTAAGTCCGTCCATGGCGGGGCCTGGTGCATTTGCATCATGGTCGAGAGTGCCAACGCCAGGTCCCGACAATTGGATGTTGCTGCGCTGGCGTTGATGGCGAATGCCCGGCTTGCCTTTGGAAGAGGTACGTGACGCAGACGAATCGGCGTGCGGGCGACTCCATTTGGGAATGACTGGCTGAGCAAATCCCGATTCGATTGGCGAAGGCGATGAGGGAGCAGTTGTGCCTCGTCCAGATAATGGAGACGACACCGAGTCCGAATACGAAACCGATTTCCGCCGCGTTCGTGGGAAGAACCCCAATGCTCTGCGGGGGACGCGGCCAATTTCAACCGGCGCAGGAAAGCCCTCGATATGTACCCACGACTCGTGCCTCCATATTCGGTCACCTTCAATCTCTGCCGCAGGAGACGCAGATGTTCCCCCCTCGGCAGACGTAGACGATGGAATTGGTGCTATTGAGCTGCCGTTCATATCCTCCAAAGATTCGCCTTCCTGGCGACCATCTCCTAGAAGGTCCTCTCCCATTCTAGGCCGGATGGGCCGTCCTTTGACCGAGCACGAATCAACCGGCAGAAGGACCGTTTTTCGGCCTTGAATGTTATCGCTAGGCCAGAAGCCGTTGGCCTTTCGGAATACCGCGGGCTGGCATCCATATCGTATCGTAACTCCGGTAATGGTATCTGTGGACTGTACATGATGTATATAAGCTAAGGCATCCTCGTCGAGGTCAGGATCAATATTCGAATGACCCGTCCGATCGCTGGAATCCCGCCGTTTGTGTCGGGGGGTTGTACTCCAAGCCGGGCCCGTGTCTGCTAATAATAGGGCTTCCCTTTTCTTTGCCTGCACTAGTGCCTGTCTCTCTTCCTGGGTTCCGCTTCCAATTTCCGGCGTAGACGGGGCAGAGGGACCCCAGGTTGCTGGTGTCGACGTCCGTGCAGGGGGCCTCATATAAGGATCTGGACGGGAGGGTTTCCTCACATGCGTCCTAGTACTTCCGTTGGTGGTGGCCGGTCGTGCAATATCGCTCCCTAGTACCGACGAGGCTAAACTTTGAAGCGATGTCCATGATGCATCAAAGAAGTCTACAGCGGCTCGCGACGACTCAGCAAACATCATTCCACTTTCCTCCTCACGGCAGAACCCACCTAAGGAGCTGTTTCCCTTGCTACGATTGGCAGCTTCGGTTGCTCGAGAGGGATGTCTCATGGGTATGGGGGACACTCCGCGGGACGGGTTAGGCGATGGTGTAGCACCGCGGGAGCGAACAGCGGAGTTATCGGGGGATAGCATCGACGACAACCCGGAGGACTGCATTTGTTTGCCATTCTCGTCGACATCATCCTCTGTGAATGAGATCAGACGGCGGTTGCGCGATCGAATGGTCGAGGTGGATCTTCGGCCGGTATTTGTCGTGCTCGCGGTCCCAAGGCTGAAGAGGTCGGCAAAGCCGCCGTTGGAACTCATCCCTGGCGACTAGGGGGGGGGCGATAAGATAGATTTAAGGAGGGGCGGGAGTCGTCAGGTCACCGGCAGAAGCTCAGTGTTGTGTGTGAGATCGCCCAGGCACAATTTGCCATCGGAGGTCTCTACGACAGACCATTCGTCATCCGGGCGCTGTAGTTATCGCATCCGTGTCCTGAAGCTCGGAGCTAGCACGGGGATCTAGGGAGCGGCGAGATCACCAGTGTTTCGAGTAGATGAACCGGGGAAGTTATTCCAGCCGCAGGATTGCCCAACTCTGAACCCAGGGGATGGATGACCACGAACTGAGGCGGGTTTGGGGGGGGAGGGTTGGGGGTGGGTGAGGAGGAAGCGCGGGATAAGGAAGAGGAAGAAGTATGGAGTTTAGCCTCCTGTGATGACGACTCAAGTCGGCAGATCAGACGTCGGCAGGGCGGGGTGGCTGTCTCATGCTCTGGTCGGAACAAGATGAAAGAAAGCAACCGGGGATTTTCGGTGCTTACGGATAATTCAGCGGGCAACTGCAGCGATTGAAAAGAAGAAGAAGAAGAAATTGGTGGGCAATGGGTTTTGATCGGCAAGATGCCTTCCCAGCTGAAGCGGTGCCCTGAAGTCCATCGCTGAGGGCCGTAATTTGTTTCTCTTGACGTCGGCCGGTGGCGTCCCGATACGCCCAGAGTACACAGTATGTACAGTACCGTATGGCATTACCACCCTCCACGGATCGGCAGCGTTGCCTTGAAACTTGGCTTATTTAACTGGCCACGTAGACCCGGTTCATGATCTTGCTGGTTGGTGATAATATTGGAATCTATCTACTTTATACAGTACAGGCTGGATGGTGAAATTCATAATCCTGATCTCGTCAGCGGGTATATCGACTCTCTACACCCCCAATGGAGGACGTAAGCCACATACAAATCACAGCCATTAAATCCCGATAGTATATCCACAATGAAAAAGAAAGCAAACAAGAATCCCAACGCCTTGCCCTTTACGCAGTACTGAGTCAAAAGGGACGCGTGATAATCTGCAAAGTCATACAATACTTATTCAAGAAAGAAAGCTGATAGCAACTACTCGGGAGGTTCCGCCATCTCCGCGGGTGTTCGTGCTTCAGCTTCGGACGCTGCCTCCGACTCAGTACTCCACTCCTTCTCCGAGTTGGCTTTGTTCGCCAGCTGGGCAGCTGGGGGAATGACCCGGACACCCCCGGCACGCGAGAAGAAGTCTTCTGTACGCAGACCCCGGACCTCTTTGGGATCAACGGCTGTCATTTGTTGTCCAGCAGCCTTTTTCTGGCGGATGAGTTCGCGCACCGGCACCATGGCTGCATCCCGGCAAGCCTCCTTGATATCACTACCCGACATACCCGCCATGCCCTTCACCAAGTAATCGAGGTCAAAATTATCCCGATCAACCTTGGTATCTTTCAGGACCAGGCTGAGGATTCGAAGCCGCTGTGCTGCAGGGGGTAGAGCGACAGGGAACTTCTTAGGCATCCGCCGGAGGATGGCCTCGTCAATATCGCCTATGCGATTAGTGGCACCCAGAACAACCACTCGCTGCGGCTCGCCCATCGAGTTGGCCGAAGTAAGACCGTCCCAGTGAGTCATGAACTCGGCCTTGACCATACCGCTGGCCTCGTGCTCTCCGCTTCGTCGAGTGCCCAGCACGGCATCAATCTCATCGATGAAAACGATCGAGGGTTGCAACTTCCTGGCAAGCGAGAACACGGCATTGACCAGCTTGTTGGAATCGCCGTACCACTTCTCAGTCAAAGTAGAAATGTGTAGGTTAATGAAGCATGCCCCGCTCTCATGAGCGAGCGCCTTCGCAAGCATGGTCTTTCCGCATCCAGGCGGCCCGTAGAGAAGGACACCAGATGGGGCAGTAAGAAGCGATGACGTCGAAGCGTAGAGATGGGGCATTGTAAGAGGATAGATGACGGACTCCTTCAGCTCCTCGATGATATCGTCCAAACCTCCTATGTCTTCGAATGATACAGGGATGTCATCTGGAGCAACTACGTCCATAGCAATAGCCTGTTCATATTGGTTGAGGACAAGATCCCCTCTCTTTGGCCGGCGTCCGCCTTTTCCTCCGCGACGCGGTGAGTCCTCATCTGACTCGTCTCCTCCATCAAGCTTCCGTAGGATAGCAGCCGACTTGCGTTTTTGTTCTTCTTTCTTTTGAGACTCCGGGTCGAAGTCAAGGCGGGATAGGAGATATCGGATGAGGAAGTATGCAGATGCCGACTGATAGCGATGACTAGTTAGTCGTAAAACGAATCTGCCAGAGCATTTGGACTCACGGTGCCCGCAACCATCACCAATTCCTGCAAGAACTGCTGCCATCGGGGACCGCGCGCTGAAGCCATGACGACAGGATAGCGGAGCAAATGTCCGATCACTAAGATGCTCCAAGATCTAATATATATATCCGCAACGCTATCGTCTGTTAGTGAATGCCCCGAGTCCAGCAGCGGCAGATTATTCGAATAAAGCTGTAACGATGCATGCGATGGGGGTCGGACGGCCGTCGGCGACAGCGAGCGCAGGTGTGGCGCCGAGCGGTCGGAGACGTGGCTTTGCCGACAGCGTCACATGCTTCACTGCCACAGTGTTGTTGTTTGCGGTCGGGCGGCGGAGGAGCTCGCGCGCGGAGCTCAGTGTGACCCTCGTCGCGTCCATTCACCCCACAATTCACGACACGCCGTCTTTATATATTCAATTTATCTCATCACTTTATATAGCCTATATATACTGTCCCCACAATGCCCAAACGAAAGGCCGCTGCTGCGCTGTCCAGTTCAGCCGGCGATGAGGATCCCATCCAAGCTAATGACTCCGGAAGGGAACGCCCTACTAAGAAGCAGAGAGGAAGACCTCGATCGAAATCTGCAGAGATGAAGCCCCTTACGCAAGCCGGGCGCGATTCTAGTACGGCACCTCCGCAAGCCTCAGAGGCACCTACGAGAAAGAGCGGCCGCAGGGGCAGACCCAAGGGCAGCAGAAACTCGGTGCAAGCAACGCAAGACATATCGGAAGAGCAGGCGGAGGTCAGGGAGTCAGAACACGAAGCAGGCGATCAGGAGGCGGAAGGCACTGCTGCCTCGAATGATGAAGCAGACGATGCACAGGAAGTTGCAAAGCCAGCAAGGACCACCAAGTCTACGAGGGCTGCCCCGCGTGGCCGGAAAAATGCTGCCACAAGGAACTCAGTTCAGACAGATGGTGGATTTGAATACACTCCATCAACTGGCCGACAACGCAAATCGCTGGACAAACCTGAAGACAGACCAGAACCACCGAAGAGACAAAAACGGAAACCTGAAGTGGAGGAGAACAACGACGCACAAGATAATGAAAGCACTGCTCCGGATGTCGTGGACGAGACTCTGCTTCAAGATGCGCCGATAGAAGCCCGATCCGTATCACGCTCTCCCACAAAACGACAATCCCAGAGAGGCATATACAGCTCTCCTTCAAAGTCAAGGCTAGGAGGAATGGCCGAGACCAATGTGGAGCCCGAGTTGCGTCGTCGGATAGGTGAATTGACGAAGAAATGCGATATTCTTGAGAATCGCTATCGGAATCTTAAAGAGATTGGCATTGTTGAAGCGAACTCGAACATGGAAAAACTACGAAAACAGTGCGAGTCGATGACCAACGGTGAGTGTTGCGCACGTTCCTTCGTGGCATCGTATATGCTGATAGCTGCTAGCTTCGAACAACCTGATCGCATCATTGAAGGCAGAGTTAGAGGCCCAGAAGGCACTTGGTCAGCAAAGTCGGTCGCTTCAACGACAGCTGAAGGAACGTGATGCCGAAGTAGCTCAGTTGAAATCGCAAGCTGAGGAGGCGACGAGTCAGCTCTCCTCGGCACAGACTGAGGTTAAGGCTTTGCAAACCAAGCTTGCCGCAGCTCGTAACACTGCCGCGAGCCTTGAAAATGCGGCCATCAAGATGCCTGGAAGTGCAATTAAGAGCGGTGCCAATCGTGCAAATGCTGCTGCGGTCACTGCCGAAGCCGCGCAGGCAGCTCAATTTGCGCAGCTCAAGGAAGATTTGTACACTGATCTCACAGGCCTAATAATCCGTGATGTTAAGAAGCGACCGTCTGACAATTTGTATGATTGTATTCAGACTGGTAGCAATGGAAGTAAGTTGACCATGCCCCGTGATGGCCTGATACAGGTGTCTAACAGAGTACAGCCCTTCATTTCAAGCTGGTTGTGCCCCACGTATCGTCGGCCAACTTTGAATCTGCCGAGTTTCAGTATATCCCACTGTTGGATGAGAACAGAGACCGTGAACTGGTTGATGTTCTTCCCGAGTACTTGACTGTCGACATTACTTTTGTTCGCCAACAAGCATCGAAGTTCTATACCAGAGTGATCGATGCGCTGACCAAGCGGCGGAGTACTGCTGCCATCTGATCGCTTGGCGGGTCATTCGTGTGCAAAACCCATTGTTTTATTTATACTGTCATTGTGATTGGGCTTTCTTTGTTGAGAATTTTGATTACCTTGGTTGAGTCTTTTGGAGATATCCCTTATCGCATAGCAGACGCCGGGACACTGCGTTAGGGCGCTTCTGGAGCGATTCCATGCTTTTTCTTATGTTATACTTTTTTTTTCAATTCTATCCGATTTGGCGGGAATATGATGGTATCTGTCCGGCTATAAGATCAAAAGATGATGGTTCTCAGTGGCAGAAGACATTGAGTCAACTCGCGCACAATAACTAAGTTACATAAGTAAATCCATCTCCTTATGATCTTGTATACCACCAAATAAAGTAAGGGACTGCACCCGAGGACCCTGTGGCCCGCCGTAAAGCTGTCCGTGTCCAATTGGAGGACCCCGATTGGTGGCGGGTCCCTTCCCCAAGTTCCCCAATTCAGGCACGCGGAAAAGTGCTGAGCTGCCATCATCCCATTTGTTCTTCTGCACTTTATCTGCTCGTTCTCTCTTGAGCTCGATGCGAGGAAGCAATTGCATCGGCCTCATTCGCCGTTCTTAAAATTCCGTTTGCTTCATTCTTCTTCTTTGTATCTATTCCTCTTTCTAATGGTTTGCATTCGTTTTGCGGTCTCCATTTCCCTCCCTTAATTTGTCTTGTCCCTGCCCGGGTCTCCTATATCGGAAATCATGGCGCGACTTGGCCGCGTAGGGTTCCTCACCCTCGCGGTGGTATTCCACCTAATTTACGCCTATTCCATCTTCGACATCTATTTCGTCAGTCCGATCGTTAGTGGCATGAGCTCGTTCCGCGTGGAACGAGAGCCCGATGCTGCTGCCCCCGCAAAACGTCTCGTTCTATTTGTCGCCGATGGCCTGCGCGCTGATAAGGCCTTCCAAGCATTGCCCGATCCCGATGATACCACCGGAGAAGATGCGGATCCTGTTTACTTGGCCCCCTTTATTCGCTCGCGTGTGCTTTCCCATGGCACTTTCGGAATCTCCCATACTCGAGTTCCTACGGAGTCGCGACCCGGCCACGTTGCGCTTATCGCGGGGTTATATGAGGATGTGTCGGCGGTTACCACGGGATGGAAGCTGAACCCGGTGAACTTCGACAGTGTCTTCAATCGCAGTCGGCATACATGGAGCTGGGGTAGTCCGGATATTCTTCTGATGTTCCAGGAAGGCGCGGTTCCCGGAAGGGTTGATGCGGATACATACGGCGAAGAGGAGGAGGACTTCTCGTCTGACGCTACACGGCTTGACACCTGGGTGTTTGAGAAAGTGAAAGATCTGTTTGCTTCCGCCAAAACTGATCCTGAGCTGGATGCGAAACTGCGCGAGGACAAGGTGGTTTTCTTTCTCCATCTTCTTGGGCTTGATACTACCGGTCACTTCAGTCGCCCATACTCGAAGGAATACCTTCGTAATATCAAGTTGGTTGACAGAGGTGTGCAGGAAATAACCAAATTGGTGGAGGAATTTTACGGGGATGATGAAACTGCCTTCGTTTTCACAGCTGACCATGGAATGAGCGACTGGGGCAGTCATGGAGACGGCCATCCGGACAATACTAGGACGCCACTTGTTGTATGGGGTTCTGGTGTAGCCGGACCTCGATACACTCAGGAAGGGACACTTACTGGGCACGAGGATGGCGTGTCGTCCGATTGGGGCTTTGACGGCATTCAGCGAAATGATGTCGCACAGGCTGATGTGGCGGCCCTTATGGCATACCTGACTGGGCTCGACTTCCCTACTAATTCTGTGGGTCAGCTACCGCTGCAATACCTGGACGCTAGTCCGAAGGACAAGGCACTGGCTGCGTTGGCCAACACTCAGGAGGTCTTGGAGATGTACCGTGTGAAGGAGGAACAGAGAAAGGCAGCCCTGCTTCGGTACAGGCCCTTTGAGCCACTAGCTGACCATGGCCGGACCTCTGTTGATGAGCACCTCGAGGAAATAAAGACCAAGATAACAAGCGGCTCCTATGACGAGTCCATTGCAATGTCGTCCGCTTTACTGGCAAATGCGTTGGAGGGCTTGCGCTACTTACAGACATATGACTGGCTATTCCTCAGAACCATCGTCACGCTGGGATACCTGGGCTGGATAGCCTATGCTCTGACTACGGTTATCGACTTGCATGTCCTTCATGGGACTTCAGACTCGAACCGGACAGCATTTAGCACTTCGTTCTTCTCGTCGATACTTGTTGCACTTTTCTCTGTCTTTTTCGTTCAGCACTCCTCTTGGAGGTATTATCTGTATGGTTTCTTTCCGGTATTCTTCTGGGAAGAGGTGTTCGCCCGACGAAAGGCTCTACTTGCTGGCCGCGACATCCTTATGGGTCATGTTCACTCCGCAAGTGGCTATGTCGCGTTTGTATTTCAGTTGTTGGCTTTTGTGGGTGTATTGGAGGCTTTGGTAAGTCACCATACCCATAGAGCTTGGAGAGTCAGCTAATATTTGTCTACAGGTGCAATCCTACTTCCATCGCGAAATCTTTACTGTGTGCTTTGTCCTGGGTGCTTTTTGGCCCCTTTGCTACGGCGCAGGATTCGTGAAGAACCATGCACTGCTGTCCCTTTCATGGTTTGTGGGCTGTCTTCTGATGAGCACTTTCACTTTGCTACCGGCAAACAAGGTCGAAGAGATAGGCACAATGTATGTATATCCCTGGTCATTTCGCGAACTTGTCGACATTGACTGATTGCATTTGCAGAACCTGGGGAGGCCTGTTAATGTTCTTCACCGGCCTGCTTTACCTACTTTTTGAGAACCGCATCTTGGGGAGAAAAGCACACACAACGCAGTCGTCCATCACTCGTCCCAGCTGTGGTTCGCGCACAATCATGGGCATGCAGGTATGCACAACTCCCTTCTACTACCCCACGGTTGCCATTCGCTAATTTTGTGTAGCTGGGCATGGTCATGCTTGCATTGATAGTTACGAGATCTAGTGCAATTTCTCTTCAAGCTAAAGAAGGTCTTCCATTTGGCAACCAAATCGTCGGTTGGTTCGTTCTGGGTGAGTTGTGAATATCAAGGGAGACTGCATAGCACAGCTACTTCCTATTCTCCAAGTTGTTTTGCAGGCTAACATACATCAGTTACCTCACTGCTACTTCCCTTCCTCTACCGCCTGTATCCCAACAGGCATTACCTGCACCGCTTGATGGTCCTTTTCCTCACCTTCTCTCCATCGTTCATCATCCTCACCATTTCGTACGAGGGGCTCTTTTACTTCGTCTTTTGCCTGACTCTGGCCACCTGGGTACGGTTGGAGCACGCTATTCATGTCTCTACTACAGCGACAAAGAACGGCGCTGCGGATTCAAAGAAGCCAGGCACCGACGCAACAGCAATTGTTGAAGGCCATACTTACCGCTACCGAACCCTCAGCGTGTCAGATGCACGGGTAGCGCTCTTTTTCTTCTTCCTGCTTCAATCAGCCTTCTTCAGCACGGGCAATATCGCCTCAATCTCCTCATTCTCCTTGGAGAGCGTTGTCCGGCTCATTCCAGTCTTTAGCCCGTTCAGTCAGGGCGCCCTGCTGATTCTGAAGATTCTCATCCCCTTCGCCATCATCAGTGCCAACCTGGGCATTCTGAACCGCCGGCTGGAGGTTGCACCCAGCGCCCTGTTCATGGTGGTGATGTCGATCTCGGATATCATGACGCTGAACTTCTTCTACATGGTGCGCGACGAGGGCTCCTGGTTGGACATTGGCACGACCATCAGCCACTTCTGCATTGCCAGCTTTCTGTGCACGTTTGTAGCAGTGCTGGAGTTTCTCAGCGAGGTGATGATCAGTGGAGTGGACATTGGTCCCCGAAGCACCGCCATTGACGCAGTCAACGGATCCACGGAGACGAATGGCACTGCGATGGCCGACAAGAAAAAGCATCGCAAGACCCAATAGAAGTGAAGACGCAGCGCAAAGCTCCACCTCGGAGTTGTAATGATTTTGTACATGTGTGATAGTATAGTCAGATACGTGCATTTGGATTTAATATACACACTACAGCCGACGAGGCGAACGCGCCCGATAGCGCGAACCTTATCATAATCGTTGGATACGTACCAGCTTCGTGCGTCGTTCCTGTAACGTCCTCCAAATAAAATCCGCTCCGGCCGAGATATTCCTCTCCGCATTAATGTCTAGCTGAATAATTGCTTCTTCCTGCACTGTTAGCGTATTCCCCATTGCGGCGAACACGCGCCGGGGATATCCCGATTCGGACATAAACAGATCGATCGATAGATGGATAGATAGGATAAAGCATCAGCCGAGGTTTCACAAGCTAGACTAACTACCACTAAGTCACTAACAGATGACGCCACTAAGCTTTTTCCCTCTCTCTCTCTCTCCCCGACTCGCCCAGGCCGACTGTCCAGATCCGCTCTGGGGAGAGGGGGCCAAAGCTAAGATCGCTCCGTAGACATCCACACCCACACACACCACACACACACACACACACACACCGCCGAGTTATCCTTCCCCCCTGCATGCTTGATGGCTGGGTTGCGGGGAAAGCCCGCGCCATTCCCGCAAGGCAGACGAGGAAAAAAAAAAGAGAAGTCAGGCACACGCAGGATCGGGTGTAAGTAGTACTACTAGGTACTAGTGCAGTAGCCTCCGGTGACGTCGGGATATGCGAGCGGGGAGGTTAACTAAACTTACCTTTTGACACATATTGATTAAAACCCGAGATTTTCTTTTCTTGTTGTTACTTTGTGCCCAAAAGGGTATAGATTGCGAAGGATGGGGTGTTGGGGTTCCCATTGGTTTGATCTGGGGTTTTACTCCTGCATTAAGCTGAAGATATACACGCAATCTACTTACTTACTTGTTCCTGTGCTGTGTGAGTGTGTGTGTTTCTTGAAGGAAGCCAAGGAATTGGTACTTGGTTCTGTTGGGTCGGTGGTGAGGGTGCCAGGGATAGATTAATCCCTCATTGTGATTGTAGAGCTCATCGCTTAGCGAGTATGGCTCGTTTCGTTTGGGATTTGACAGGGTTGTTGTTGTTGTTGTTGGTGTGTGAATCTGGTGATAAGTAGTAGTACTAGTAATTGTCTAATCATCGTGGATGGGGGGATCGGTCGCCATATTTAGCACGACGGGAATTAAACCAAGATTTGCGGCCCAGATGGAGAGTCGGACCCAAAAACTGGTAGGTAAATGATTTCAGGGGAAGAAGATACTAATCATTGATGTACAGGTGGGCTAGAATCATCAGATACAATGGGTCTTTTTTACATCTTTTGCTAGTTAGTTAGTTACTCGGTGGCTGTTTCTGGCACTTGACTAATGATTCTATCCATGATTGATTATGACTGTTCTTTTTCTGACTTTCTTTGTTTTCCGGACCAGCTGCATAAGCGGGCATAAGCGACATTGTACTGAAGAAGCAGAAAGAAAACGGCCCAGACTCCACTCCACATAAGTGGAGTTGGAAAAAGAAACGTAAGAAAAGAAGCTTAAAATCCACGGGCGAATGCAGGAGTGGGAAGTTGTGCCGACATTTCCATCCCATTCCTCCCCAACTTGTGCGGTGTTTCCATTTTATAGTGGTCTCGTGAGATGTGAGTAAGTAACTTTCAGAAAGCAATGGGGGAATAATGTATCAATATGCATGTCTTGCAGAAGGGAGTGTGTCATAACTCGTAGCTACTAGCTCATCGCAGAGCCTGATATTTTCCATCTCAAAGAGCCTACTAGTAATTTGAGTTTTGCGTACTTAAGTAGTAGTACTGTAGTAGTACTATGATGCACTGGGGGATCCCCATCCAGTCGTAAGTATTTAGCCCTTCCGGGTTTAAATCGCCAGATCATGGTGGCAGGATTTCCCCTGTAAAAGCAACGAGTATCATCTGTCATGGTCTCATGATAGTGTCGGAGTTAAGCTACTGTCTAGATTTCAATCATTCAACTGCATATATCCACACCTCATTCTAGCGAGTTACCATCTATCTACCCGTCAGGGGGGGGATTACATGTACCCTCTCCAAGGTAGATACTTGGGGTTGTACCTGAACCGGGTCTAACAAGACTGAAAATAGCAGCTAGACTGACTAAAAGTCGACTGACCATCCGGATGGACCCTGGCTGGATCCCCCCCTAAGAGCCTTAGCCCGACCGTAATTTCTGGTCCAGCGACAGGGAACGAAGCAATACTAAGCAGCTTTCTCCACAGCCGACTAACTCGTTCATTATTCATTATTCTTTTCCCCCCTCCTCCTCCCCTTTACTTAGTTAGGACGGTCGAGGTACGTCCCAAACAACTGAACTCTTGACCAAGACCGTGACTGGTTGTGCGTGGGCCCCAGCAAAACCATACTTTCAGGTCTAAGACTTTCTGACGCCACCCTGCAGGGCCAGTAGGAAAAAGACGCTTGAACCGTTGCTTGCTGCTTGCTGCTGCTTGCTACTGCTGCTACTTGCTTTCTGGGGTGGTGGGATACTCCCGCCCGTTGCCATTGAGTTAGTTTCAGTTCGTTTACTAGTCTACTAGTACTACTTACTACTTTTCTTGTCGCAACACAACTTAGTGATTTAGTATCTCTCTCTCCATCAGGCACTGGTTCCTGGAGTCATCCATCACCTTCTCTTTTGAGCCCAGTATTCCCGGGAATTTTTCTCCCCTCTGCCCCTCCACATTGCCTCTCTCTCTCTCTCTCTCTCTGTCACTGTCTTTCTCCCCTGTGACCTCAGCCTTCCACTAGGCTCCATCGATCGCATCCATCGGTCGGGTGGCGCCAAATCCTCCCTCCCCTCCTCCTGCTCCCCGTCTTTCTAAGCTTGGTGCTTTACCTGTTCCGTTCCGTTCCTTCAAGTTCATCTGCCTGGCCAGTAAGCGGTTCATCAGAGAATCCCCAAACACCCAGCAAAAAAGCAAAATATCGGTCACCTCACGGCCTACTTCTCCATATTATCCATACTTGAACCTTGGTCCTCCTTCGATTCTCTTTTCCCCTTTCTCGTTTTTCCCTTTCTTTTCCTTTTGACGTATTGTTCCCTTTTTTTTTTTTCTTTATTCTTTCACTTTACTCTTTTTCGAGTCTCGACCACAAAAACTTAATTCCCAAAACCTCAAGTCGTCCCCCCCCTTGACCCTCGTCGCTCTAGACCATTTCTTTGTCGCATAGCCTCTGGATGGATACCTGGTGGCCATGAGCACGACCGAAAACCACACAGATCCATCAGCTTCCAAAACCAGCCCAGCCCCAAGTACAGCGGGCTCAACGGGCACTTCAGGTATTACTGTGCGCACGGGAGCAAACGGACATATGAGTTTCAGAAGGTGAGTGTTGACCGTTGTGGTGATTGCTTTTTTGCCCGTTTGCGCTCGCGGGGCTGTGAGTGATGAAGCCAGACTGCCTGGCGCAGAACTCCCAGAACCCGAGCGGGGGGACTACAGGACGTGAAATATGGATTCAAATTTGGTCGAGATCTTATAGAAGCTAATCTCTTTTATCTAATCGCTTTTCTCCCAATAGACAACGTGCGTCGCGTGCTTGTGAGGTACGTCTTGCTTCCTGCGAGGTCGCGTTTGTGCTGTTGAGCCTCGGCACCTCGGCTCAAACCCCAGCTTGCTTTTGCTCCTTACTCGCCGGTCGCAGGTAATGCGCCGCGCGCAAGGACAAAGACAATGCAACCACATCTCGATCTATAGGACTTTTGTTTGGCTAACATCTCATTCTCTTGCGCTTGTGAAGACATGCCATGCTCGAAAAGTGAGTCTATACCCCTTTTCCTCCGTGTAACCACCTGTCCCCACTCGGATGGATGGCCCCAGTCCTGCCCGTGCCTGGCCTGCGCCTTGTGATCGTGGACGGCTGAACAAGCTCGCTAATCACGCCACTTCATGGGTAGGTTCGCTGCGATGCTGCCAGTCTAGGGGTGCCATGCACCAACTGCGTGGCCTTTTCGATCGAGTGCAAGATCCCTACACCGAAACGCAAGAAGAACCAAACCAAGTCAAAGGAAACAAGCGGGTATGTCTCGGTCTTCCGTTCCAACGTCGGTGTCGAACTATATTGACCATGATGCTTCGTTTCTTGTTTACTAGAGGTGAGGAAGCCGAACCGAAATCGCCGCCGAGCAAACCCGAGCCACTACCAGTCGAAAGCGGGAAGGATGCCTTTGGCTATCAGAGGAATCGGATGGCTGTCGACGGTATGCCGGTCACTAGCCTCACCGAATCGCAGGCCGCTCAACAGGCTTCCCACAATTCGATGTATGCTCAATTTATGAAGCCTAAGTTTGCGCGCGCCCCGATAAAGGAAGCGGGGAGGGTGGCATATCTTGGAGAGTCGTCGAACCTGTCGCTCCTCGTCCAGGACCGCCATGGGACCACCGATGTCGTACACTACCCTCTACCCCCGAACATGGGCGGCACGCCTGCTCGGTTGACAGATCTGGATAGCTTGGAATTGGATATTCTGCACCAACGTGGCGCCTTCCTGCTGCCTCCAAAGCCACTGTGTGATGAGCTGGTTGAGGCCTACTTTAAATGGGTGGCCCCCGTTGTGCCCATCGTCAATCGCAGCCGCTTCATGCGACAGTATCGTGATCCAAAGAACCCACCATCTTTACTTCTTCTCCAAGCCATACTCCTGGCAGGTTCAAGGGTCTGCACCAATCCGCAATTGATGGACGCCAACGGCTCTACTACGCCAGCTGCCATGACATTCTATAAGAGGGCAAAGGCACTATACGATGCTAATTACGAGGACGACCGCGTCACTATTGTCCAAGCCCTGGTTCTTCTAGGCTGGTACTGGGAGGGACCTGAAGGTATGGATAGTGGCTTATGCTCATCGTATCTTTGAACTCCTTGTGTATATGTGCTAACCCGCTCTAGATGTTACGAAGAATGTCTTCTACTGGACCAGGGTGGCCATGGTCGTGGCTCAGGGTTCGGGTATGCATCGAAGGTATGCACAAGGCTGACTTGTCCTTTAATGCACATTCATTAATGGTACTACAGTGTGGAATCGTCTCAACTTACCAAG